AGAAAGTCATCAGAAGGAGGTTCCCCCCCTAACTTGGACAGTGACAATGACAGTGACAATTTCTCTTTTTTATTAAATGTTGGTGAATGGAGGCCTCCTTTTTATTTTAACTGATCCTTGCAAATTGCTGCCTTGCATTTTCGAAGTTGGTATGGATTTCACTGAAATTCTTAAAGAACAGGGCTTAATTCTTCAGTAAATATCCACACAGTTACACGGCTACACCTGCTGCTGTTGATACTGTGATGACTGCTATTTTTGTTATGTTCTTCAATCCTCCATTTCCTGCAATACACTGCATTAAGATAAACATAATATCGAAACCAAATATAGAGTACACCTCTCTGTTTGATGCTCTAAAAAGTATAGCTAAAGGTGTTAGATCTAATTGTGAGCTTAAAGAGATACAAACCACATATAAAAAGTTCATAGGAGACAAATCTAACACTATTTTACACCTCCCAGCAAGTTTACCACTTTTAATTCCCACTTTACATGGTTTTCCATGTGCTTTGGCATAATAGGTTATATGCCAATTTTTTTGGGACAGTACAAAAGACTAAATCAAAACTTTTGACTCACCTTGATCAGTTGGAGGTGCAGGGGTGCTTGGTGGTGGTGGTGGGGTAACCTGATCTCCATTAGGCAGAGGTAAACTATTTGCCGTGTACAGATTCTCCATAAGTAGACTATCCAATATCAATAACTGTATGAAATTCACAGCTGCAAAGTTTTGTGGATCCTCCGTTGAATTAAAATGTTGGGTATTATAAAAAAACACTACTTGTCCAGATTGCAATTCTTCAAAAAAGTTGATATCACAGTGGTGAATCATGCAAAAATCATACCATATTATTGTTGTTCTATTCGGCTGGCATACCCTGATGATCTCTTCTCCGGTGCCAGTGACACAATTCTGGCAAGTAGAGGCGTTAACGTCGCCTCTGCAGAGGAAGAGACCATGGATATCATTGATAGTCTCATTGTAGAAGTCCATGGAGGTTGCTCTGGATGATAAAGAGTCCAAGAGGGAAGTGCGGTCATCTATGTAACTGGAGTTGGCTATGTCATCGGAGCAAAGATAGGAGAGTGCTTGGGCATGAACACAGAAGATCTGCCCAAACCCATTGATTGAGATCATCACAAACAGTATGTATGATTTGGGGTCTTTGAGGAGAAGCATGATTTTTTCTACTTTGACTGAAAATAGGTATCTTTCAACACAAAATCATCTGAGTGTTCGGACATAAACAGAGACAATCTCAGATAATGATTGAGAGTGGTATGCCTTATGTGTGTATTTCAATGGTTGGTGGGAAAATTATACTTTCACCCATCTACTATGTTACTTGTTTCACGTTATTCCTATCAATTATTACAACAAATATCCACACAACAAATATCCACCCATAGAACACAACGCACACACACCCACCACACAGAACACACACACACACACACATCCAGCACACAGAACACACGCAACACACACAGATATGTGTATATATGCACAGATTTGTGCATATATGCACATATACACGGATCTGTGTAAATATACATAGAGAGAGTGTGAGGAGATAAGATGAGAGAGGGAGAAACAGAGAGAAAGAGAAGGGGCTTACCTGTCGTCGGTGAGAGAGAGGAGAGGTGGGTTTAAATAGGTTCACGAAAAAAAGAGTATTTTTGTTATTAAGGGAGTTCGAAACCCAGATCTCATTAATCCCTATTAGCGTCTGTTTCTGTTTCGCGTGTTTATTGGAACAAAAATTTTTTGTTTTCATTTTTTTGTTTTTATCTCTAATTTAATGAAAACAAAACAAAACAAAAAACAGATGTATTTTTGTTTTTATTTTTGACAAAAATTAAAAATAAAAACACAAAAACAGAGATAAAGACGGTTAACAAACATAGCCTAAAATTTAAGTTCGAGGAAATAAAATGATAAAGCAATAAAAATTAGAAAATTAATAAGAAGCTGGAGGAGCTGACTGTTACATTAACATTGTCTTAGAATGGGTGAACACATAGAGATCTAGATTGTAGACAAGCATGTCTGAAAAAGAACCCGAGGAATATAGAATGGTGTAACAAAGCTTCTTTTTTTCGGTTACCGTGATGATTTGTTTGATTACGGTGAAAAGTAAAGAAGATGATGGGTTTCCCTAGGCTTTTAGGTGTTACAAAACTTACTAAATGGACGGTGCGAGCTTCGAACCTTAAATATAATAGTATTCTTGCTCTTTCTTTGTTGGAAAGATCAACCTTGTGTTTGTTTGCTTTGAGAGAGAGAGAGAGGAGGAGGGGCGGGGGTGGAAGAAGTAAAACAACAACCTGTTTGTATCTTCCCATTGACTTGTTCTTCCTGTTTTGATGTCAACGAAGTTTTATCCGACAAAGGCTGGTAAATTTCGCTGAGGCCTACCAATCTATCTGACTCCAAAAACAAGGACAATTCACACAATAATAAACTGTCTCGTGGGTAAACAGCTTGGTTTTCTTTTTTTAACAATCACACACAACTGTTTACCAACGAGCTTTTAAAATAATTGTAGCTTAAATCAGGTGTGTTGTAGCTCACATTTCTTACGTGTGAGCTATGGTGTCTCTTGCAAAGTAAATTCTTTTTTTTTTTTTTTTTTATGGTGGTTACAAAATTAAGGGTTAATTATAAATTACACCCTAAAAAATTATTTAAATATTAATTTATATCCTCAAAGATCAAAAATTTTAATTTGTACCTTCAAAAGTAAAAATTTGTATCACTGCACACCTGAAACTAACCGTCACCAATTTGCTGTTAAATTTAAAATATTACTCCTATACTTTTTAACGCTTATGTGCGTGTAACACATAAAATTCATTGTCGTTGATATTTGTTAATATAATAGTTTAAAAATATGATTTCATTCTAATAAAAAATTATAATTTTATACAATCTTTTATTTTGTGAATCCGTTGTATTCTAAAATTTAAAAATAAGCGTACAATTTGAATATCTAATATAATACAAGTATTTATATAATATTTTTTATATCTAGTGCAATACATCATTTAAATAGAATTATTTGAATGCCCAATTGGGAAAACATTTTTAGTTATATCTGAATTCTCAAGAGATGTAGATGTAATATTTTAAATGTGAGGGATCTAGGTGTAATTTATTTATTTAGTTTTAGACGACAAAACTATTAACTTGCGTTGCACATTAATATAAATTTCTATTTTTGAGGATATAAATTAAAAATTTAAATTTTTAAGGGTGTATATTAAAATTCAAATGATCTTTCGTGATATAATTTGAGATTGACCCAAAAATTAAAATATAAATTATAACAAAAATTGTCGAATCGATATGATCTGAATCATTTTTGTACATTATATTGAATTTTTATTAGATAAATGTGTTGACTGATTGAATGATAATAGAGTGAACTATATCTCGTAGAAAATAAAAGTTAACTCAATTTTTAGGAGACCAAGTAGGCTCGGAAATTAAATGGATCGACACATCCCTTAGAAAAGAAGAAAATATTTAGTGAATTAGTTACACCACATTAATATTATCACAAATGGATAAAAATAACTATCTCTTCATATAAAACAGTAACCATTCTATATAAAAAAATATAATTTATTTTATCGACTGATTTGTTTATGATTGATCGATTATACTGTATAACAATACTAATATGGTGTAAGTTGAGATTGGAGACATGTGACCATGGCCTTTGAATTTCGAATTACGGTGCGAATGCGATGCGAGGGAAACTCATCGTCGATGTCACCAAAAGACCGCGCAAGACTAGAGCGCGCGTGTCGTGTCTGAAGCCTATCACGTTTGTAATTGCAATATGGTGATCCTCAGATCACCATAGCTAGGTGGACCTACTCAATTAAGACCCTCGTTTTCTGACCGTCAAAAACGTTGACCACCTGTCACTGACCCATTTCCGTATCCTGTACACACAGCGGCAATTTAAACGCAATGGACCACTTCTCAGTTCTCACACACCTACCCCCCGGCATTTTACTATCATTCTTGATTTCTGTCTTGAGTTTTTTTTTTATTAAATAAAAATTGATATTAAAAAATAAAAAATATAAAAATATCAACAAACACGTGACTCAATAAACGCCCGAAGCCCACACATAATAATTCTCAACCTCCTTTTAATAGTGTGATTAGATTGAGAGAAAATTAGCGAGCTAAATTTAATAATATATTTAAAAATTTTCACTATTTTCAAACTGATCAAAAATTTAGAATTGGATTTGGTTGTCTCGTTCACATCCATATTCACATGTCCAACATTTTAGCAGCATTTGATTTGATGTGTCTCTTCACCACATGTGACACTACATAATCATAAATTTTGAAGAACAATTCCTTAAGATTTTAAAAACCTCAATTGCAGGTAATCTGGCTGGGACCCAGTGTAATATTAACAAATTTAGCCGCATGCATTAAGATACTCATTCAAATACGAGCATTCATACAAGAAATTTACTTAGCTTTCAACTCAGTCAAAACCAGTCCCATGTAGATGTAGTCATCCACCTGAACTCTGATGGCTAACATGCAACTGAAGGTCCATGAGACCTTATATGGAATCAAGAAAGTCAAAATAATCTACGGTCTGGAATCAAAGGCATCACTCTGTTTTTTTATCATCAGAAACTGGTCAATCATCACCATTGATGTTGACACGTCATATTATCCCTTGCCAAGAGATGACGTGGGGCAATCACAGACGTCCTCATCACAAGGTATCTTTCCACTGAAGCAGTATGGGACATCTCTGCAATTTTGTCTCTTCCTCACCATCTTCTCTTGGTCCAACGAGAGAAAAGAGATAGATAGGGAGAGAGAGAGTGAGGTGTTACTTTCGCTTCTCTGCACGCTTCTGTCGCCGAGATTTGAAAGCTGGGTTCTTATTCAGCAAGTGGAAACAAAAACAACAAGAGAAGAAGGAAACTGTGAAACCAGAACACACTCTGGAGTCCGAAAGCTCTCTTTTTTCGACCGTTTAGAGCCAAAACCAAACATGGGTATCTCAGTATTTATCTGTTTTCTCCTCCTGCTATCCACAATGTTTTCTCCACTACATGTTTGTGGAAATGTTGAGCTGAGTGCTCTCATGGACATGAAGGCCAGTCTCGACCCAGAAAACACATTTCTCACTTCGTGGACTGTCTCGGGTGATCCATGTGATGGTTCATTTGAAGGTGTTGCTTGTAATGAGAAAGGTCAGGTGGCTAATATTTCTTTGCAGGGTAAACGTCTTTCTGGGAAGTTGTCGCCGGCAGTTACTGGGCTCAAGCATTTGACAGGTCTGTACTTGCATTACAATGCTTTGTACGGAGAGATACCTAGAGAGATTTCAAACTTGACTGAGCTGAGTGATTTGTATCTGAATGTGAATAATCTGTCTGGGGAGATTCCTCCTGAACTTGGAAACATTGCCAGTTTACAAGGTTAGTGGCACCCTTGTCTCCCTCTGTGTGTGTTTTCTTTTAGCTCAATGCGATGAACAAAAATTTTTGGTTCTTGGTCTCTCTCTCTCTCTGTGGCCCCCCCGCCGGGGCGTCGTAACTCTCTGTATGTGTACTCTTAAGTTTTAGCTCTCTGTGATGGGGGAAAGCCGTCTTACTGACGGATTTCTTGGTATTTTGATTTTACCTTGCACATACTTTCTATTGTTAGGTAAACGCTGAAGATTCAAAGGTCTTATGTGCTTTTGCTTCTTTGCCATTTGTTATTTCTTCGGAAAGTTTCCAACTTTAAAGATTTTTGTGCTGCTCCAACTTAGTTGATTTGGGGTTTCTTGGAATATTTTCAATCTTCCTTACAGATTTTATGTGTTTCTACCTTCTAGATCTCTGTGTTTTCTTTGAGAAGCTGCATTCTTTACAAAATCCAGTGCTCTTTCTATACAACTTCGGTCTTCCTTTGAAAAACTTTACTCTTCATCAGCATTTCTAGTTATTGTGTTCTTTATATGGTTTTTCTGATTCTGAACTTCTCCTTCTCGGCTCTGCATTTTCTTTTTAGTTTTGCAGCTTTGTTACAATCAGTTCACAGGAAGTATTCCTACACAACTGGGGTTACTGAAGAAGCTAAACGTTCTTGCTCTGCAATCTAATCAGCTAACAGGTGCAATCCCTGCAAGCTTGGGAGACTTG